GGACACTGATTAGCCCGTTTTTAAAACCTCTGGGTGGAAAATAACTAGGAGAGGAGTTACTGCCAAATCAGAGCAGCAGAGATGCTGCAAATAGCACAAGTGTTCTGCCTCTGACAGCTTTGACTGCAGTGAAAAACACAAACCGTCCATTTCCCTAACAGAAAACGTGGAAGCCCTTGCAACCTGGATACCAGCACTGCCTGTGTAGGACTTGAAACACTCACAGGAAAGCTCCCGCACCCGCATTTTTGTGGCGACAGTCCTGCTCTGGTGCCCAGCCCCATCGCTGCAGATTTAAAAAAATTACAGAGCAAAGTAGGACAAGCTTCCAAACGCAGAGGCATGTTTGTTTATGTAACCTGAAGCAGGGTCTGCTGTTTGTGCTGGATGTTCAAACATGAGCGCCCGCAAACCGGCCTTCAGGGTTTACATTTTTTTCCAAGTAACTTCTGAAATTGCAATCTGGTGAATCAGAGGAATGAGGTCTGTTATCCCCGCTAGTGCTCTGAAACAAGGTATGTCAAATCCAGGGCAACAGCAGAGTCTGTGGTCCCTGAAGACCAGTATAGATCTTTCTTAGATCTTTTTAAAGATCTTTTCAGGTCTTTCCTAGAAATACCTGAGCAAGAGAAAAGGTAAGAAGTGGGTGATTTTTAAACACAAAACCCAAATACAAAGAGACTGTGAGGAAGAGCCACTTTCATTTTGGGTAAGTGGGAGCTAGAAGATCTTGCGTTCCAGTCAGTGCTGCTCCGAGTGAGCAAAAGATGACACTCAGCCTGAGCTGGGTTTTGGGAGGAGGTATGGCGTCTTACATTCAAGCTTCTGGGAATTATTTCTGTAGGGCTTGGTATTTCACTTTTGAAACAGTAATCAGAAGTGAGCTTTGACATTGCACATGAAAGAGAAGTTGCAAGTTTTATTTGAAGTATTAACAGGAAAGCAATGAAGCCTTGTGCACATCCTTGACGCTACTGGTATATATGGGGGTATGTGTTATTCAAAGCCAAAAACCCCTTTGTGGCTCTGGGTAGCACCTCGAGCTGCTTGCACAGTCAAGCATCTTTGGAGGCAGTTTTTGTGCTGCCTCCTCCTGGTCTCATGTTTCTCTGAGATGTCTCTCTCCAAGTCCTCTTAGCTGTTATGGTTTGGTGAGCTGCTCACCTGTAAACTTTGGATACAGCAGAGCGGTGCTTGATTGGTAGTTAGGTGGGCTTTCTGTAACTGCAGCTAAACAGAGCAACCAAAACCCATTCCCAGACTCACACTCACACATCCCCCTGCTTCAGCACTAACTGGAGCAGCCGTCTCTGCCAGCGTTCTGGTGGAGTCCTGCCTCCCCTCTGACTGTCATGGCTTGTACTGAACTTGCGTTGGGTTAAAGTTGGTCTCGCACGCACCCGGAGTTTTGCAGTCACTTCGTGCAGCCTGACATGGGGTCAGTCGCAGGTCTTATCCCCAGGGCTGTGCTAATTTACATGCAGGTAGCAGGTGCTAGTCCCGAAATCTCAGCCAAAAGCACGTCTCTGTTCAGATGCTCCTAACACCACCAAGCTGGCACTGATTATCAGCATCTCCTCCGAAAGCAGAGCAGCCAGCACTCTTCTGTCTTCCTTTAGCTGCAGCATGCTTGCACGCGTGCAAAGCAACCGGAGCTCATCAGCACTCGAGTGCCACAAGCCTTCACTGCAATGTAAATAGAATAAAAGGCATTTTAAAGACCCACATGCCATCTATTTAATTTCAAGGCATACAGTTGCCGTGACCTGCTTTTGGGAAGGATTTACTTCTTCCAGAAGAGCTTTGTACTCGTACGTTGAGTCCGAAGGCCGCAGAGGAAGCTCGGCGCCCAGCTGCGAGGGCTGCAGGAGGAGCGGTCTGGAAGAGCCTGCTTCCCATTCTTCTGGTTTTAGTTTTAGGACTTCTGTCCAAAGCTTTGGATGAAGTGAAGTGCAATGGCAAATGCTAACTAGTGGGGTCCTAAAACAACTCCTGAGGTCTCAAAATGCGGTCAACCTCTTGGTCATCTAACTGCAGGCGTGGGCTGTTAATGCAAAGACAAAATTGAAAACAATATCTTAGTGTCTGACTAAACCGACTTTTGACAATGTGGGAAATTTCCCTCTTTACTGATTTTGACGTCTTTAGTCAGGGAACAAGGCAGATGAGAACTTTTATTAGCTAATTAACAGGCCTATAATTTCCAACTTGTATCTGAAAAGCCTGTGGATTGTTTGGGAGGGCTTTCTTCCATCTCTTTTATGCAAGACTTAATCTACACCTTGCCATTCAGCTAAATTTATGTCCTAGTCATATCGAAGCGTTTAAAGGCTTCTCACTATTAGCATCTTCATTCTAGATCATAAAATATATTTCTAATTTCAGAGCAATCAGCAATTCAATTTTCTCTCTTTGGGATAGTTAACCACAGTGAGTACTTAAGATAAATTCTTTTTAGAGAGAACGTGGCTTAAGCTACCTAGACAAAAAATACTCAGTTGTTGAAATGAAAAACTAGGCAATGTAAGGACAGTTTGAAGTGACAGCCTGCCCTTGTTTCTTTAAGCAGCACATGGAAAAAGCCTAGAAATCAGTTTTATGCGAACCCTGTACCACAGTGGACAAGCGAGCTCTGAGCACAGCAGAGTTCTCGGTCATCCTGGGCACAGAAAACAGGAGCTGGCGTGACGGCACCATAAGCGTACTCCACCCAAGAGATGTGGAGCAGCCAGAAATGTGAACCACACAAAGGCCCGGGGCTGCTGCCGGATTGCTGCTGGCACCTCTCGCTTTGGCTCCTCTCCAGCACGCTCCTGCTGAGCGTGGGCTTGCTCCGGCGCTGCAGATGGATTTGCAGAGCACTACACATTTACAAGGCGCAGCGTGGTTTTCAGACCTGAAAAAAACCGACCCAGCAGATGTTCAATGCTTCTAAGTTGTCTGTTGGCACGGTGCGCCGTGTCTTTCTAGTCTCTCTTCCACCGAGTCTGGAGTAAGACAAGCTAGATTACATGAAATCCGGTGTCTTGGGTGTCTTTAGATATACTGTAAGAGGCAAGGACTGAGGAACAGCCACGATAAGTAGGATGAATAAAACAAATCCTCTTACACATTTAAAACTATTATTTGAAGGCGATAAACTCTGTTCATGCCCAAGCTTGCATTATTGCAACAAGAAGACACAGGGCTGGTCCAGGTTTCCAGCCTCGCTTTTATTTAAGACCAGCTGCAAGCCAGCACCTAGAGGCAGGGTTTCTTGCAGTGCTTATGCAGCTTCTGACGGTGTTAGACCTTCTGCAGCTCCAGGGGAAGCGTCTCGTTCCCGATGCCCGTTTCGATGCTCGGTTCAGTTAATGGATAGAGATAACATAAATTTCTGTGCCCAGCAGAAGCCTCAAACCAGCCCCTAACGATGCACCAGATATTCAGAAGCTGAACACTTGCAGGATAGTAAATGACTAAAAGCTCCAAGCACACAGCTGTGATACCTTCTAGGCATAAAGAGGACTTGAAATTCATAGTCACTTTCTTTGTGTGAATAGCAAGGTGAACTTTGCTTTCAGTTTCAGCATTTAATACATGGCAAACATCAGATTCTCTGCAGCTGGGGAGGAGCGCATTTGAGCGTTCATTAAGTTGAATCACATCCCACATACAAAAAATACTTAAGATAATATTGTTTCCAACGTTTACCCCCAATATTTACCAAGCTATCTCTATAAGAATAAGATTAAGCAATTAATTCTGGGCCAAAATCCGATTATGGCTAATTTTTTCAGGGGCCACCAGCTTGGCTAATAACCCAGTACATGTTTCTGAAAGCCGTGACTGGGGAATCTAAAGGTCTAATCAAGTCTCCACTGGTACCTTCTCAGATCCTTATTCAATATAATAAAAAGAAATTAACAAGTCAGCTGTAGTAACTCTGCAGAAATCAAATGCTGGTTATTGCTGGGGCCCGGTACGAGTGCTGGGGGTACTCACAACCCCAAGTTATTCTAGCAAGGTTGTTGGTGTTAGAAACTGCTTTTTGAAAGACATTTGTGCCCCGGGGAGAGAGCATCTTGAAAACAGATGTTTGGAAATGTTTTCGTGGTCATAGGGTTTTGTTGCCAAAACTGATGCAAGTGTGTCACCTATACAAGCTCTACTGCCTGTACACTTAATGGTTCTGCGTTGCACTAGCCCAGTGAGAAGGCAGGAGCTGATGGCCACCCTGTCCCCAGGAGAGAAGAGAAACAACAAGTCCCTGCCGAGCAGTTTCCCTTCCTCCTTTCTTTCTGCTCTTCAGAAAGAGCTGTCATCCTGCTCTGGCTCTGTATTGCAATGCCACTGGAAAAAGTGGAGGACCGGAGGAATTCTCCTCCTTTTCTCGAAAGCTTTCCCTGTAGCCCAAGACGGGCTACCTTCTCCTGCGCCTGGCAGAGGCTTCTTCCTACACACTTGCTGCTGCTCTTTGCATTTAGGTGAATGCAAACTTTAGGCGGCTTTAACAGCTTGGATGATGTTTCCGTACAGTCAGCATCCAGCAACAAGACAACAAAGGCCATAAGGACATTTCTGCAGGTGTCAGAGGTGCCCATCTGGAAGACTTCCCAAATGGGGCACTGGGAAGCCCAACGCTGGAGCCGTCCCCGCTCCTCCTTGCAGACCCACTCCTGGGTGCAGCCGGACACAGCACGGTCCTCTCATTGCCTACAGCCATTCAACGCAGCTTTATTGACTTCTGGGCTCTGGAGTCCCACCATCAGTGACTCTGGGAGTGAAAAGCAACAAGTGCTCTTCAGCAATGTCTCCTCTGGCTGCTCCCTTCTGCCAGGGCACCACTGTCAAACATCACCGTGTTGTCACACTGTGATGTCATCGCTATGTTGCACCTGCATCACAATGACATGTCAGAATGTCCCATCAGTACGCACAGTCAGCCAGCGCCAGTTGGTCTTTGCTTGCTGACTGGCAGGACGAGGCCTGGCTGTCCAGGGCGATGGCCAGCGAGGGAAACTTCAGTCCAGCTGGGACAAAAGAAATGAAAAGGGAGCCATCTCCCGCAGAAACACCATCTGCTCTGGACAAGCTGGGGCAGTCGGCAGACACAATTTCTCCTGGCCCTTCTGGACAGGGGGAAAGCACACCTGCACAAGCGGGAAAGGAGGAGTGGGATGTCCAACCTGGCAGTGATGGACACGAGACCAAACAAGTCCCTCCTGTTTCCACCAAGAGTGCGGGCAAAGCCAGTGGATTCTCATCCCTCTGCTTTCCACAGAAGCTTTGGAAAATGGTGGAAAGCGATGAGTTTCGGTCCCTTTGGTGGAGCGAGGGTGGAAGATGCGTGGCCATCAATGAAGATCTCTTCAAAGAGGAGGTGCTGGGCAGGGTAGGACCTCTGCGGGTTTTTGCCACGCAGAGCATGAAGAGTTTCCTTCGACAGATGAACCTCTATGGATTCACCAAAATGCAACGGGATTTCCAAAGATCTGCCTCCCTGCCTGAATTCCTGGCAGAAGAAGCAGCAGCTTCCGCTCACAACCAGGTACAGCAGTTGCTTTGCACATCAATTAATGCTCACAATAGTCTTGGGGGAGAGACGGACCTTCACACCAAATAAGGCCTTGCAATACAGGAGATGAGGATGGTAGCGAGCGGTCTGGTTTTAATTTCCTTCTCAGGTCGTTTTCAGGAAGGTTTGAGTTAGTCTTTCTGACTAGTAGAAACGCGGCTAAAATACAGTTTGGTTATGTCCACTGAGTGTGATCCCGTTAAATGGAAAGACAGGCTCAGCCTAGCCTGATTTCTTGTAATGTCTTTGCTACTTGTCTTGCTGTACCAAATCTGAAACCTTCCTGTGGCACCTGCTGAATGCCAATCTAAGGACCATAGTGTTACCTGCATGCTCATATCCACACTGAAGTTGCTGAAAAGTTGTGGTATTTGGGTTTTGAAAGCAGTTCTTAAGCTTTTGAAAATCCTATGCTGCTCTGCTCCCAGACGGCAAAAACCCAGGGGTGACGATGACTGAACAGAAACCATCACATAACGCTTTAGGCTGAGCTTTAGGTTTCAAAGTCCCCTGAGAGTCCATTTCAATATCCGTGCTCATCTTTTGCAATTCAGAGTCTCGGTTCTCGTAGCTTGAGGTTTTCCAGTCTTGAAATGGTGTCAACTAACTATTCCCCTTTGCTTTTTTTTAGATACTCTACTACTATAACCCCAACTTTAACAGAGAGCATCCCCACCTGCTGGAAAAGTGCAAGAGGAGAGCTGGCCTCAAACGGAGAGCCCCAGATGCACCGGAGATGAATGAAAAGCACCCCTCCAGAAGCCCAGATGGTCAGCCTGCAGGGGACACGCAGGTGTCTCCACCCAGGATGACCACACCCACCAAGCGATGGGCTGAAGCACCTCCCAGCCTCAGCAGCGCTGGCCCATCTCCACCGGCAGCTGCTCCCATGCTTCCAGGGCCTGCCGGAGCAGGAGGCAGCAAGAGGTTCACCCCTCTGGCCATCTTCTTTCTACCATCACCCAGCAGCCAAACCCTGGATGGCCTCCAGAGTGCTGCTCATGCTCCTCCACTGTCTGCAATGCCTGCTCTGGCAGCAGCCTCAGCTCTGCTGAGGCCAAGGCCACCCCACTGCCCCACCTGCACCTGCAGCCCCAACCCTGCAGATGGGCCCCAGTGTGGTACATCCTAGAGAGAGCTCAGAGAGTACTTGCTCTGAGAGTACTCAGACTTACTGGCAGCAAGTCAGTAGCGTCTAATTAATAGTGTCGTTAATAGAGTTGGTAAGAAATAGAGCCTAATAGTGTTGGTAATAAACTGTTTGGATGATAAACCTTTTCCAGTTGTCCTGTCCTCTCTGCACAGCACAACCCCAGGGTGAGTTCCCATTTTATCACCCACAGACCAAGCAGAAGCAACTGATCTGCCACCAGTTGAACCATTTCTGGTTTCCTAGCACTAGAGAATAAAAGGCAGGATGAGGGTTGCATGGTGCCTGCGCAGGGGATGCTCTTCCCCATGACATCTATGAATGAGAGGTCCTCTCTTCTGCAGAGACATTCTCCCAAGGCCACGCCAGGAGACCAGGAGCTCACAAGTCCTGGGACTCTTCAGGTGACACGGCTGGGCCATAGAGCCATGGCTCAGCTTTTACCAGGAGGAGACAACCCGTTACCCAGCAACTGAAGGAAGAACCTCTGATAAGAGCATTTACGAAGGCTCAGTTTAGCAAAGAGTATTCAACTGAAGCATCTAAACTAGATGCTGCTTCGTGCTGCCCTTCCTTTTTACTGAGCAGGGGGTTCATTTCGTGGTGAGAGCTGGCTTGTCACACATGCTGCGGAGGATGGTCTGCGCTTTGCAGTGGTTTACGTTAACCAGCATAAGAAATAAGGGTGCAAGTTTGTAAGTCCCCAGTAAACGTGCAGTGCTACACAGCACAGTCCCATCACGGAGAGATTGCCCAAATTAGGGCCTAAGATCGGAGAACTGAGTATGTGATTCCCCCACCCCAAATTGAACATCCAGATGAAGATGCCAACATCTTCATCTAAGCTGGACCGGGGAAGCAGCGTTTCATCTCATGCCTTCTCCCGATTGCTTTAAAATAGGCATTGCTGAGCCAGCAGCATGGGTTACAGAAATCGGTGATCTTTCGTATCATTTCCAGGGCTGAACCGGTTTGCATAAAGTCATCCAGGAGAAAATCAAAGTGGGGATACTGGCTTCACACTGCAGCCCTGCATTCCTAGGGAGGGGCAGGGGTCCCGCGTGCCGCCGGCCACAGCCACACAGGCACTTCTTTTCACCCCTATCGCCTCCGCTTGCTGGCCACTCCCCATCATTCCCCCTTTCCTCATCCTCTTCCCCCGTTATCCCCCTTCCTATGTCTTTTCCCATAAATTTTCCTCTTTTTTTCCGGCTTCTCTGAAGCATTACACTCCCAGACCCCCTGGCCCAATGCACAGCCCTTGGCAGCATCGCGAGGCACTGCCGGTGTCGCTGGGGGACCCTCCCACCCCAAAACATGCCACGGCGGAAGACAAGGAGACGCTTGCAGGTGCCTACTGGTTTTATTAGCAGCCCCACGGTCGGGTTCCCAACCCCACGGGGAGGGTGCTGGGGCACAGGGTGGTGCCACCCTGCCTGCCCA